TTCCTTTGCTCTCATCATAAAGCTTCCATTGCAACAATGAACAATAACTGAGATAATGGGTCTCTGTCTAAGACCCCTTTTAGCTTTAAAGAAAGATGATGGTTCCACCATTCACTAGTTTCACAAAAGAAGTCGTTGTAATGCAAATATTGACCCATTTGCACCACATCTCTCCAAAACCCAATCTCACCAACATCTAATCAATAAATCCTGGCTAACATGTTTATATGCCTTCTCCATATCAGACTTACAAAGAATCTCATCTCTTTTATGATATAATAGATCATCACAACTTCACTCGCTATCAATGTTGTGTGCATTACTTGTCTTCATTCCACAAACGCATTCTAATATTCACACATCATCTCCCCCAACACCTTTGCCATCCATCTAGCTAGCCCCTTTGCAATGAACTTATATACACTTCCGACCAAACTAATAGAACTGAAGTCCTTGATATTTAAAACAAGGAATATCCCTGTCTCATTAAATTTAGAGATTTCACGAATATCGCTGTCTCATGAAAATCTCTAAAGGTCTCTAAAATATGTTCCTTCATCAAATGTCAAAACTTCTGTAAAAAACCTATACTAAAACCATCAAGTCCCGACGCTTTATCCTTGTCACAGTGCATACTTCTAGCACCTCACGGTTTCTACCACCCAGTGTTCTAAAAATAATCCCACGCAGACGAGGTCTCCACTCAAACTCCTCCAGGTACAGTCTACCAAAAAAGTCTTTAATGTCCTGCCTCAACTGCTCAATACCTTTAAACATTCTATCCTCCTAAATAACTACTGTGAACAACCCATTTCCCTACCTTACCCACTGACTAAACAAAGCCTTATTATTATGGAAACTTCAAATTGAACTTATTGTGGTTCAAATGCAGCATAGCCGATTTTAACATTTCCAAAAGTAACAAAAAAGATCTCAAGACACACATCATCATATTAAGAGAGGAAAACAAGTTGAAAATAAAACCTGATGTTCTGCATCCTAAAATAGTAGAAATTTCCCCACTGTTGGGTAGGCCCTTGTTGATGTTTCGCTATATACTGCTTATGTGCCCACTCCTGGCAACACAACCAGCTCTAGGAGTTAGAATGAAAAATAACAGCATTCTCAAACACAGCAATAAGAAATAGGTAACTAGAAATCCCAGCATTCTAACATGAAATACCTAATTTTCACAACATAACTCATGTTCGAGGATAACTTGTAAAATCCCAATCAAGTATTCAACAGGCAGGAGAAGTAAAAGTCAGAAATACCCTACCCCCCACAGACACCATGAAGAAAAAAACATTCTTTTTGAAGAGGTGAAATTAAGCTAAAGAGATCCTTTTAACATTATTAAGGTCATCTTAAGTTCATTACTAATACCGAATTAATAGGAGTAAGCAACCTGTTGATGTTCTGCAAGTGGATAGACATCACCAAATATCGTTACCCTTGCATTGGATAAGCCACTCCATCCCGGTATCTGTAAATATACAAATGAATACATCCAGATGCGGGGAACAAAACTAAACAAATTATTCCATCAGATTAAAAGAAAGTAGAATAACCTGAACAACAAGAGTGCATCTGGGGTCTGCCAACAAATTCCGTGTGTGGATGGCCAGTGGTGAGAATGAAAATATTGGATCTGGATGCCAAAAAGAGTAACTATGAATCTTATCATCTGATAAGTCTAAGTATGAACTATATATCATCTAATCACCAAAAGGATGCCTGCCACTGTTTCTCAAAGAAAAAAAATCTGCCATTGCCCAGTTGTTCTACTTATTTGGTTTCTCCAAACAAAAAAAAAAAAATCTGTCATTTCCCGGTTGTTCCACTAAGCACCTTGCAAACTTCTCTATAAATCTTCATGCAAGAAAAACAATATCTGAAGTAATAGAAAAATAAATTATAAAGATCCTCAGCTACATGGCAATCCACAAAGAGTTAAACTCTGGAAATGAAACTTCCCACTGGTGGAAACAAAATTATATTCAATATCAACTCTAAAAAGTTTTGATCCCTTACGCCCAGTCGAATCTGGTGCAAAATCAACCAGAGAACCAAAGGGGTATCCTTGTCGTCTGTGGTGCATTCGAGACATAACAGTGCACAAATGAGCAAATCGGGCCTTAAAATATAAAGAAAGATAAAGTTAGATCTTCGAATTTTATCAGAAAGAAATAGAATAATAGAATAAATGGGAATCTGTTATCTTAGGAAGTAAAACCAAAAAATGTCACAAGAGAAGACAGCATTTCAAATGCAAATAATGGCCTTTACCTGCTCCATCAGATTGCGGACTGCCAAGGCTGGTCGAGGTAGCCCATGAGCTGAGGTTGCACTTTGAACTCCGCCAGAAATTGGAGTTCTAAAAAGCCCAGCTTTTGTTCCCCCACCGAACCCACAAACATGTGGAACTGCCAGAGATGCCTCGACATCTATAATTTCATTCATGTCCTCATCACTACTCTTGTTGCTATTTACATCATCCTTCACAATACGAAAGAGGTCATCACTGTTAAGCTGAAGTACCCTTTGATATACAAACTTTAGAAAAAGGTCTAGTATCAGAAGGAGGCAAGAGGATGCTAGTCATGTATAAAAGAATAGATGTTAGGTACAAGTCAGAAGATCTATGAGGTCCACTAACTATCAAACATCAAATATAAGCAGAATTCTGAACTGTAGGTTAAAAGTCTAAAGCCGGTTGTTTCTAACTCTCAGATATCTTTGATATATATAAACTTTTCCAGGATTTGGGAACAGATGTTCCAGGCATCACAGAAACATAACAATAGGACAATAAACTCATCAAAGATTAAAACATTCATGTACTTAAGGTTCTATTTGGAGTCCCATAAAAGTAATGAAAAGATAACAATATCAGAGAGAAAAGTTGCAATCCTTGAGCTTGTCATACGAATTCAATCGCTCAGTTATTCAACAGTGATAAACATAAACGTCCAAAAGCACTTGCAGTCAATTGAAAAGATAAAGAGAATGAGTCCATCAAAGTCAGAAGAACTGTCATGTCTTTCTAAGGGCAAAGATACTGAGGTTATCAAGATCTTTCACAACATAGGGAGAGTTTTATAGAAGATCAATATAAGGAGGAACCTAAGCCAATAATTGGAATTAATGCTCAAGGATGAAGTTGAAGCGCAAATTGGTTACCATTTTAATTTCATCCTACCATTAGGATTTCACACTCATAAACAGTTACGTGTTTCTATCATGTTTGCTGCTGAAGAAAATGACCAAGCAAAAAGGCTGCTATGTTTTTATGGGAAAGCTCGAACATCAAGATTTTACATCATTTGCCACTTGTCTCCAACTGGGGAAGGATGATGCAGAATGAGTTAGCATTAGATTTCCTAAATGAATGCATCATCGGCACAAAAACGACAGCATAAATACACGGATAGATATGTCCATATAACGAATACAAAAATTTTAAAAGAAAAAAGGACACACACACAGAGGAAGACTTACTAGAGATAAAGAGAAAATATTGCCAGAAACTGACTTAAATGCATCTGTAACAGGCCCGTTTTCTTCACCATCACCTGCATCCTCACGCGTGAGAGCCCGTACACGAAGGCCAAGGGAAGTAGAACTCCCGCAGTGGAATCGAAAAGACCCGATTCGTTTATTTATTTCTTTAATCAAAGAAGATGTAGACGGGGAAAGAGAAGGTAGAGGAGTGTTGAGAAGAGGCTTTGTCTCCATGAAATTGGAGACGAACACTGAGCTTGATAAAGACTCCATTAAGGGCAAAAAATAAAGAAAAAAGGAGGAGTTTTCAGCTGATAATTTGTTGATTAAATTACAAAATAGTAACAAGGGTTTATGGAACGTTCGATTGCGGTTGTTTTGTTTTGTTTTGTTCTGTTTGGTTGAAGGAAAAAAGAGGAACTTGAGGTGAGTTCAAGAGATTACCCCGCAGCGCCGAACTCAAGTATGGCGGCCATGGAGGGTTTTGCATTAAAAAAGAACGGAATCGGAGACGGCTACGTTAACGGTTAAATTTATTACGGGTTGTGTTTTAATACTATATTTAGGAATGTTTATAAAGAGGTAAAAAATCTTATTGACTATATTATTTGAAGGAAATTATACATACACATTTTCTTTTTTTTATAATGAAATTATTTTAAGCTACGGTAAAAATTAAAACTAAAATCTGTTTATATTAAGTTTACATAAAAATTATATAAAAAATAATTTTATTTTCTAATAAATATTTATACTTAAAATCTTAAGAATTATTTTCATAAAACAAATAATTTTTGTTTTCATAGTTGTAATTGTGTTTTTTCAACTTAAAAAATAGAAGATTATAAGTAACACAAAGTTATCATGTCGAATGTAGAATCATATAAAATGTTATCAGTATATTTTTATGTAATTATTTATATTTATTAAAAATAATACATTTTTATTTAATTATAAATTGTGTGTCTATTTATTTTATGAAATATTATTTTTATTCATACACAATAGTAGCATAGGAAAAGAAAACTACGGTTTTCAAATTAGCATGTCTCTAAAACAATCACAACCAATAAATATATAATCAAGTGGCAATGTTCATCTATATAGATGGATGCGCACTATATATTCTTTGTAAAGATATTATCAATTTAGTTAATCATTTATGTAGTTGAAATATGATTAAGTGTATAGGTGATATGAAACTCATGTGAGCAAAGGAAGAATTTATGAGGTTGATGTTTTATGGGAAAGAATTAAGTCGAACGTGACAAAGATATAACAATCATATAAATAAAGGAAGCAAATTAAAAATATCTCTGCCCAAAGAGATGAGAGAGAGGAACACTAAGAATTATATATACCTACTAAAAAGATGGCATCGAAGCAAAAAATGAGTCTAAATAAATAGATTTTTAGTGTCTTTAGAAAAAAATAATATAAGAAGTAATCAAGTGAGGCAAAAATCTTGTTGTAAGTAAAGAAATTAATGAGAGAACAGCATGGTAAGGATTATATTTCATAAAAGAACTTGAATTTTTTGTTATAATTTATTTCTTAATATTTTTATTTGTTTCAACCATTTAATTTTTCTATTTTATAAAAAATAAATTTAAAATAGTTAGATTATGTATAAATATTTTAAATATGGTCAAAATACTAAGACGATTACTATATTATTTTTAGATATATAATTTATTTTATATGCTATTTGTTTTATATTTTAACTCCTGTACTTTCAAATTTTTTTGATTCAGTCATTAGCCATTAGTGCATATTAATTTTATTAGGAGATTTGTTATATGACAACGAGTTGAATATATTGTTGTTTTTCATTGAATAAATATTCATATAAATACTCGTGACATCTAACATGTAAAAATATTTTAATTTTTAATTATTTTAAAGATAACAAAAGATTGAAAACATAAAACTTTTTTTAAAAAATCTTCCGTAGCATCAAAGCTGTCATCAACCACCTTTCTCTCTTTTCCCTTCCTCTTAACAACCTTCTTTTCATCTTTAACACCATTAACTCCACCTCAACATTAAATATGATAGCTTTATATACATACATACATGTGTGCGTGTATATATATATATATATATATTCAACCTTTATCTTTTCTTTAACATTCCATTCTCTTTTTCTTCTTTCACGCACACAAAGCCTCCCTCTTTCTCTTTTTTCTTTTTTGCCTTTTTCTCCTCTCAACTTGCTTCTTCCCCATTCCAGCCTGTTATGATCCGCTATGTAAAAGCCTAAAGTATAGGTAATAAAATAATACTAAAATTTATTAAATTGCAGAAGCAGTTTAGAGTTTTTGTTACATTCTTTGTACAGTTTAATTAAAATGTTTAATAGAGTTACAGAAATGCCCTTAAAGAACATAAATAAAAAAAGTGAAATAAAGAAAACTAATGTGATCAACCTCTGCTCGAAACTAGAAAAACAGAGAAACAATCTTCTAGCTAGTTTTCTTACTATTTAAGATCCGAATCTTGATTGTCCTGATCTGAAATGTTTAATAATAAAAAGCTACATTAACTCAATAAAAATATCAACGTTTTACTACTGATATATAAAATTAAAAGTTTGTAAAAATCGTAAAACAACTAATAGAGCTCATTTTTCTTTCTTAAATAAGTTCATTTAACTAAAAATATTAATTTTCTCATTCACCTGTTAAGTTTTCAAATGCCATTTATGAAGATAAGAATCAGAATAGTAATTCACATTACCCATTCTAAAAAACTAACAGTAATTAACCTTTATCATTTACTTACTTGCTGGTACCGTTGGGGTTCTATAAGAGTCCCCACTATATGTGGACCAAACATCCATTTAGTTTATCAAACAGCCATCCCCATACCCTGTCTGATAATGGACATAAAAAATACAACCACCTCAATACCCTATTTGGTAATGAGCGTAATCAAAATAATTCTCAACCCCTTTTGGTATGGGACTTCCTTACCTCGTTCGACTGAGGTAACGTCCACAATATGGTTTACCCTATGTAACAAGTCCGTACACCCTTTCCTATGACACCCAGTAATCCTTTTAATTTAACAATGTTACTTACACATACAAGTTTTCGTTACTATCTAGTCACCAAATACGTGCAAAACTCATATTTTGCAATTACAAGAAAACAAAATCCATTCTTCAATACTTGTTAAGAGACAAGACCATAAGTGAGGATGAGATATAATATCATAATAGAATAGGGACACCATACGTTGAGATAACATAAAAAGTAAAATAAAACAATTAATTAATGAAGCGAAATAAACTAAAATCCAACGGATCAAGAAACGTGATTAAGACATTAGTTGTAAATTGATATAATAGAATAAAAATGAAAACAATTTAGATAAACTGAATAGACAAGAACAATAAAAATAAATTAAAGTACACTAAGATAAAGAGAAGTGAAGATACACAAATAAGGTAACATAACAACAAATAGACAATATGGATAAACTATGGACAATTATAAACTAACCGGTCATTGGTTCAATCGACAACCTGTATTTAATTAATCAAGGGATCACCAACCATTTATAATTTTCTTTTTATTGTTAATTTGACTTTAATTTAACCATAACAGGAGAAAGAGTGATGGATTCTTACTCTGGGTCGATATCTAGAATACCACATTTTTCACTATACTTTCAGGCAGTTCTCGGTTCCTAAATTTCTTGAATTTTTTTGCTAAAATCAAAATTTATGTCAAATAACGTGGAAATACGTGAAAAATGGCCCAAAAAGACAAAATCTCATCGGGAGTCGGTTTAGGGTTCCAGCACGGTAGTGCCACCGTGCTCCGCCGCTAGTTATGCCTTTTACGGTGCCTTTTCCCTCGATCAGGCTGGTTTCAACCGATTTTGGGTGAAAATCTATTCATTTCGAGGTTAGGCAATGTCTACCGGTAAAAAAAGAAAGACAAGCAAAGCTTACTGGTGGTTTTGGTCTCCAGGGTGGCAGTGAAGCCTCCTCCTTCGCGGCTCGTGGTTTTTTCAGTCACCTGTACCAAGAAAACACATTAGACGGCCTAGGGTTGAGAAACAGAAGGAACAAAAAAGGGTTTCAGGCTCACCAGATATTTTTTAATTTTGGGTGCAGTGGTTTAGCCGAGCTCTATCCTCTATTTCTAACTTTTCCTCGAATTTTCCTGCATCAAGAAAGGTTTTTGGTAGCTTAGAATGGAAAAACAGGACGAGCGGGAGAAAATCGCACTTACCGGCTGATTTGGGTCTTCGATGCAGAGGCGACGATGTTTGGCTTCTCCTCCCGCCACCCTTCTTCTTTTTCTACGGCGAGCTGGTGTTCGGTTAAGGTTAGGGTTTTGATGGAAGAAGAGTTTAAATACTCCCCTTCTCTCGATCTGGGACGTCCACGCCCGCATGGACCGATCTCAGCTGTCGGATCCCACTTATTCGGGAAATAAACGCGGGCAGTCCAATTGAAAGTATGCAGACTGTTCACTCGCGCCTAATGGCGGAATAAATCTGGGTTGTTCGTACACACGAAAGTGAATACAGGCCATTGAATCACTTAGCACGTGGATTGCTTGCATGGCCTCTCGCATGGAATGCGTGCTAGCATGTCTACCACGCGGCGCACGATGACTGGTTGTGTTATTGATGTGGCCGTCCTACATGGTCGTTTTCCCCATTTTTATACTTTTGGCCTAGTTTTTAATTTTTTATTTTAAATGAGTCATTCCTTATTTCTAATTTCACTCCTTCCTTTTAAAATTATTTTTAACTATATCCCAAAATACATATTTCTCAAAAAATTATAAAAAAAATTAAACTTAAATATTTATTATTATTATTGAAATTAATTTATGTCATTTTGAGTCTAAATTTTGGGCTCGGAGTGTTACAATTCTCCCTCACTTAAGAAAATTCGATTCCTCAAACTACTGCCCCCCTAGTCAAATAGTTGAGGATATCGGGCCCTGAAGTTTGATTCTAATTTTCAGGTGGCCTCGTCCTACGAGTGATTTTGCCACGGTATTTTAATAAAAGGAATTTTTTTGTTGCGAAGTACTTTATTCTTTCGGTCCAAAATACTAACTGGTATCTCTTCATAAGATAAATCCTCATAGAATGGAAGTGGCTTGTAGGACAAAATATGTGAGGGATCAGGGTTGTACTTACATAACATTGACACATGGAAGACATTATGAACTCTGCATAGTTTTGGAGGTAGTGTTAGCCTGTAGGCAGGTATCCCAATCCTGTCAAAAATCTCAAGTAGTCTAATGAACTGAAGATTCAACTTTCCTCTCTTTCCAAACCTGGTGATACCTTTAAAGGAGGATGATCTTAAAGAATACTCGATCGCCTTTTTCAAATTCTAAATCTCTCATTCGAGTATCCGCATAACTTTTCTATTTATTCTGGTTCATCTGAATGTTTTTCCTAATATTAACAATCTTCACTATGGTATCATCTATAAAATCTAGGTCAATCAATTTCATGTTGCCCATCTCTTCCC